CATTCGTGCTGCTGATTACATTCCTTACTGGGTTGCCTCTCCACCAGCAGATAACAAGCTCAACTTGAGGATTGATGTCTGTCTCAGATATGGCATGTTCATCAAGCAAACTACTTAGCTGCCATTTACATGCTCCTTCTCTGCACTGAGTCACACACATCTGATAGTCAACCAAAAAACAGCCCTCAATTATAAGGGCTGAACAATGAGCAAACCAGGTTTAAAAATTCAGATTCGTTTTGCATTTAGAAGAGGAAATACAAGTTATTTTCCAACAAAACCCTCTTTTTAAATATGTTTTTAGCAGGAAATATATTCAGAGAACAAAATGGCAGTAGCTTCGCCAAGCACTCCGGGAATTTGGTGACCAACACGAAGCAGCGTTTAAATATAATGTACCTGCAGTTGGTTTTAATAAAACGCAGACCACCGTGTGTGGACACCTTAGCTTTAAATGCTACAGAGACAGCGGGGGTTGACCAGAGTGCCGGTGGGGTGGGGTGTTGGTGAAGCCCACTGGGGACTCTGACATTGTTAGGAAGACACAAAGTGACTTGGGGTGAAATGTGACATTGGGAACACAGGGAGGGATGGAGGAAGGGAAGAGGAGAGCACAGCTGGGAGCCAGAGAGCGATGCACAAATGACTAGTGATGGCTCTGCGGGATATGAGCCACACTGCGGAGAATTTACCCTGCAGACCCCAAGCTCACCTTTACAGCTGGGGTTACATCTATAAATCGCACGCAAGTAGATGAAAACAGACAGGAAAAAAACACAATTGAACAAAAGGACAGTCATTCTTAAGTGAATCACTTTCATCACTTTAATGATCCTTTGGTGAAAATGTGTGTTTGGAACAGAAATGCTGCAGCATAAACTAAGATCGTAATAGTCTAGTTTTATTTTTTAATTAAGTATTCTAGTAATGTGTGTTGCATGTTTTAATTTGATTGTATTGTTTAAAATGAAATGTGTTTTAGGTTGACTTATACAATCTGTCGAGGGACTACAGATGAAAAATAGCTTCATGGCTAACTCTGGCACATTTACAGAAATGTTAATTAACGTGCACTGTCCCTGTTAAATAAAAATAATAAAATGGCAGGTGCATCCTGAAATATTGGTAGAAATGTATATTACATAAAATATATTTCAAATGTTGGTTCTGAGTTTGGTTACACAAGTAGCTCCTATGGTGGATAACATTTACTTAAAGGTGGGGTAGGTAATTTTGGAGAAACCAGCTCGAGTGCGCTAGAATTTGAAAATACACAACCGTAAAAAATCCTTACAGAGCCCCTCCTCCAACACACACGAACGCGCACATGACCAATGAGGGCACGAGATAAGTTTGTGCACAGATGGAAGGCTGACAGGCAGATAGGCCATCCAGTTACTTTAGCCGGGCCGGCTCAGATGATTGGTCGTGCTTTTTACAGCACTACGGCTTCCACAGATGACATTTTTTTAGGGATTTTTTGTCAAAGCACTTCAGATATTCATTGCTATCGGGATGTTAAGAGCATTCCATGGAATATAACAAAAAGTGTATCTCGAGCCGGTTTCTCAAACGTACCTACCCCACCTTTAAGGGTGAAATTAAGGGAAACCTATGAAGACTTAACCCCCTTGTTGTTTTTTCTGCCTCATCAAATAAATAATGTAACGTTAGAAAAGGCAGGGTTAATAGTTAGCCCCAAAACACAGCTTCCGCTCAATCGCTAATGCCTAAGCTTCCCTCTTTTCCCACTAGTCTTTATTAATTTATGAATTCATACATTTATTTATGGTTTACTTCAGAACATCACACTGTAATTCATTCTGAAAGCACCGACTAAACCAACATTTACTGCACCAACTTTAGCTTATCGCTTGCTTTTCTCCCCCCTTTGTTGCCACCTCCTTGCCGTGTTTACATGTGTACATTGAATCCAACAACAAAAGCCCTTGCAGTGTGGTCAAGTGAGCTGAACTCATATTATAGCTATGGACAGCAGAAAGACTATTCTCTAGAATGAGCACAAAAAAGAGAGCTAAAAAAGGCGGGGGGATCAATGTGCTGCGAGATGTTTGTGAAGATGAGTGGAAAGAGAGAGCACTCGGGAGAAGGTGACAGCTTCCATATAGAGCTGCCAGTCATGCTACACAGCGCCCGCTCGCACTACAGAAGACACCTCTGGCCAGTCGAGAATGTATTGATCTAAACTCTTACACTCCTTCTCCACGTCTTACACTCCACTTTTCTTCTGTCTCCCTTTGTCTCCTCTTCCTATTGGCCTGTCAGTCTCCTCTGTGAGCTTTATATACTTCTCAGACTTCGTCTTCCACACTTCCAAACACAATGGTTTTTTAAGATATTTAAATTATTGTAATTCTTTTTTTTTTTATCTCAATGTAGTTCTGCTAGCTGATGGGCAAGGATGCAAATGTTTAGGTCATACATTAAGTAGTATTAAGTGCTTTTTCAAAATCTAGCTTTAGATAGAGAGGAACATGACTTTCACAAAAAGTTATCAACCTGTTAATACTCATTTTCAGGCCTAGTCCAGATGTACACTGCTCAAGCTTCTTTTCTACTTTGGTCAACAACAAAAAACAATCCCTGGTCACACAAGCACTTACTGAAAAAACACCGTCCACATGAAATGCGATTCCCAATTGAAGAGCAGTCAGTACCAGAGAGCAAGTTGGACATGCTCTCACAATTCTTGTCCGAGACCAGCTACGTTTGCAGTGGATTAGTGATGGTTGCTGTGGGAATGTTGCTTATAGCAGTGACCTGATATCTTTATTCCCCAATATAGTGGATGAGAAATTGTAAATTTTGATCAGTACTTTTCAGTTTCAAAAAAAATCTCCACCCACCCTGGCAGCAGTTTAACAAAAGCGCTGTTTTTCCATGACTTAAAACTCAGTTTGGGTGTGGATGAAATAACTAGGCCTCAATTCATGCATAGAGAAACATAGAGAAATCACTGGAAACATATTGCAAAAACGTTGTTATATGAAATGGAAATATTGATAAAGTACCAGCCTGTGTTCAAAAAAAGTATCTCTTTCCCTGAAAATTAGTCTAGTGCTGAATATCTTCCTTTTGCCTCAATGACCTGAAGGTGAAATCCAGAAGGATGTGGAAAAAGTGAGATACAGAAAGCTCGGTAGGAAGGTGACAAGAGTTCATCAAGAGTTAGCAAGTCAGAGATGGAGTGTGAGGATGAGACCGAGTGTTAGAGAAAAAGGTGGAGTGTGAAACATGGCGCAGGTGTGAGGGCAAAAACGGTAAGAGTGTGAGAAGGAAGGTAGCAAGCAAAGAAAAGGGTTAAGAGCAAGGAGTCTCCATCCTAACACCTCCCTCCCAGACATACAGAGTCGGGTGTGGACGTGTATTTATCTTGTGTGGGTTTATTTTATTATCTATTCAGTCTTAAAGGTGGGGTATGTAATTTATTTCAGAAACACTTTTTGTTATATTCCATGGAATGCTCTTAACATCCCGATGGCAATGAATACATTAAATGCTTTGACAATAAATTCATAAAAAATGATGATACTTTAAAAATAAATAAAAATGCTTTTCTGTGTTACTTTGCTATAATACACAGCTCTAAATACAACAATGCCTCTGAGCCTCAGTTCAAGTAAAGGTGTGTGTGTGTGTGTGTTTAAGTTGGCATCGGGGAGCACAGACAGGTGGGTAGGCAAGGAATGTGTTTGAAAGCTTCCTATTGAGCAGTTCATGCTGTGTGTGTGTGTGTGTGTGTGTGTGTGTGTGTGTGTGTGTGTGTGTGTGTGTGTGTGTGTGTGTGTGTGTGTGTGTGTGTGTGTGTGTGTGTGTGTGTGTGTGGCTTGAGGGACTGGTCTGTGGGGAGCTGATTGCACGGGCTCTCATTATGTGGCCAGCGGCTGTAATGGAGTGTGACAGCAGCTTGCTGTGCTCTGGATCTCTGTCCTTCCAGCCTGCAAAGCCAATTAAACACACTCTGCCCTGCTCTCCCACCGCCTCGCCCAGCGTTGCTCTCCATCACTTCCTCCTTCCTTGCTTCTTTTCACCCTCGACCCCTTCACCACCATCAGCTCCCCTTCCCCACCCTCTCTGGGGCCTTTCATGCCATCGTTTTGTAGCAGACTTTCTCTAACCCCTCCACCACATACTTACTGCTCTTTCCTCACTCTTTTGGCTTCTTGCTCTTACTTCCTGTTGCCTACTGGCCAATTAAAGGCTCCAATTGCTTTTGCCCACCCTCCTGTATCACACAGCCTCCCTTCACTCACCCCAAGCCAACTTAAAAGTTTGTCTCCTGGTGTCTTTGCAGTGAAGCAGAGCTCCTTTGGGGGGGGAAGAATGAGAATATTTGGGCTGCAGGGAGAGAGAGAGCCTCTGATGACAGTTTTTCTGTGACACACACACACACACACACACACACACACACACACACACGGAAGAAGAGCAAGACAGCAACACTTGGTTTCTCAAAACGCAGAGCAGTCACAACCACTTAGGAGGAAAAATGCCCCGCAGCACCAAAAACACATATAGTCCATTTATCATTCCTCATATTCCCCCAAAATACACACACACACACACACACACACACACACACACACACACACACACACACACACACACACACTACTACGTACTACTACACACACACACACACACACACACACACACACACACACACACACACACACACACACACACACACACACACACACACACACACACACACACACACACACACAATTGCGTGTGTGTGCTACCTTGACTGGACTCCTGTTTTTTTACTTTTTAAAATCAAACTCTGAGAGTGCAGCCTTCAGCAGAGACGAAAACATATTTTTAAATCTTTCGCCCTCCTGTGAATCCCTCTGACAGCACCAACCATGTAGATGCAATTAGTGTTAGACCTCACTCTCTCTAAGGGAGAGTGTGTGCATGGACAGTGCCGGTGTGTGAGTTAGCAGAAAAGGGAAGGAGAGAGGAGGTGTTAGTACCTGTTTTGAACCATCCGTCCTCAGTGAAAGACTCTTGGGTCTCTTGAGGTTTATTCCAGTACTCTGTAAAAACAGACGGACCTCGAACTAGGAGCTCCCCTTCTTTTCCCTCCAGACCTGGACGGACCTGCGATACATTACAGAGAGAATGGGATAGAGGATAGAACACGTAAAAGAAAGAAAGTAAAGAAAGACAGAATTTAGAGCACTATCCAGTAATGAGTGTTGTTCCAGCGAACAACAGCAAGACAGCATATGCTGAACAGAATTGAATTTCAGAGTTAAGAAATACAGAAAAAATTGAATATCTGATATGTTTGTATTTCTGGAATTGTGCATCAAATAATTGTTTTCATCCACTGTCTGCAAATAATAAGTTTAATAACTGGATACTTTATTGAATACCTGAGTCTCGCTGTGATTTCCCTCCACAATGGTGGTGTTGATAGTGTTATTCATAACAATCCGGACATCCACAGTGGGAAGAGGCAACCCGACAGCGCCTGTCAAAAAAACAAGCAATAACAGAAAATGTAAAAAGGAAATGTCGGCTGATAAAGGCAAGATGGGATGATTTGTGTCTCCTCCACATAACTGGAACACTTATATGGGCAATAACCAGTGGAGTGATGGTCATCATCCTTTAGTGCAGGATTTCAACCACAGTGGGAGTGCTCTCTTCCAAAATGGCATTATCCTCTGTCCGCAGGGCATAACTGGTCACTGAATGGTTTGCTGAGCTCGTAAAACACTAAACTGAAAGCCATTCGTCTCAAGTCACCACAAGTCTGCTTACTTGTACAGTAATGGAGATTTGTGGGGCAATGCATGACACAGCTATTTTCTCCAACATCAAATTAAATATGGGAACTCTTAAAAATAGATACCAGGCCCAGAATAGACTGAAGGATGTTGCCACTTATAAAAAGGACTGAAAGAGTTTTTTCAGAAAGATACTGAACTGCAACATCCTTGGCATTAAGTCCAACGTTTACTTAAAATATCACTCTCCTCCGACACTGTTTTATATGTTACACCAATATGCAGACAGATAACTAATACGTTGTGACCATAAGTGTTTGTTGTTTCTTGTGCCTAGGAACTAATGTTTGTTCAAGTACTGGTACTGTGTGTTTTGTTGATGCACTGGGCAACTCAACATGGGTTGATGTCTTTATTGAAGCTCTGCTTAGAGCATCATATATCATTGTGACACAAAGTTATTAAAAAAGGGAACTTTAAAGATTCAAATCTCCTTTCATGACAAGCGGCCAACGAGGTATTTGTTTTATGTTTTCATGTGGGCGTCATGTCCTATTTTCATTTATATATTTGTATGTGTAGCACACTATGCTAATGTGTTTGGCTATGTATATACAGTGTGTTGTTCGTTGTAGTTTTCACGGCGTAACAGAAGAATGGAGGCTACAAGATATAACTCCAAGAATAAATGCGCGTTTTAAAGAACCGACCTGTGTCTGTGTCAGAATCAGAAGAGAAGAAGAAGATAAGCTACACAAGCATCCACATGATCATCCACTAAAGAATCTTCGGACCCGTTTCTTACTCCTGTAGCATTCAGAACTTCAGTACAAAATGCATGACAAGGCTTTCATTGCAGCACGGTTATAAAAACATTTATATCACATGATGTAATATAATAAGAATCAAGTGTCAAAACTGTTCATAACTGTGAACTGCCATAATCTTTAAGTGTAACTATTAATAAGAAATGTGTAAACAAAGTGTTACAAATTGGAAATTCACACATGAAATGAAAGGTGGTGTCAGCCTTCATATTGGAGCGTGTGTGCGAGTGTGTCCTCAAGAACCAGGTAATTATAGCAAACGATGCACTGGGGCTAAGGGAGAGGGTCTCAGTGGTCGTGTGTGTGTGTGTGTGTGTGTGTGTGTGTGTGTGTGTGTGTGTGTGTGTGTGTGTGTGTGTGTGTGTGTGTGTGTGTGTGTGTGTGTGTGTGTGTGTGTGTGTATAACCCTAAGGCTATTATACCATTTCACAGACCACTGCTCTCCCAAGTAGTGTGTGTGTGTGTAGAGAGAGAGAGAGAGAGAGAGAGAGAGAGAGAGAGCGAGAGAGTGAGTGTGTGTGTGTGTGTGTGTGTGTGTATAACCCTAAGGCTATTATACCATTTCACAGACCACTGCTCTCCCAATAAAGAGCAGGTCAGGTCCAGATTAAAGAGTGATTCTCTCACTTCATATTGATCTAATCCACTCTGGTCTTGATTGGCAATGTCTATCACACACACACACACCATCACTTGCACTCAGCACGGAAAACCAACTAAACAAAGAAGTAACAAGACGGCTTCAGTTTCAGGCTAGCAGACGCTTCGAAGTCCGAAGGTCGGACAAGCTGAAGCCAGACGGGTTATAATGATGAGTGCATCCTGGTCTGCTTTGGACGTTGTGAACAAGGTTGATTGAGAGTTAAAGCAAGCGCTGCCTCTGGTATCTTATTTTCATTAGAGAGACAGTATGGAGGATAGAGTGGATCAAGAGGAAATGCACTGTCTTGCTCAAGGACATTTCAGCAGGGTTAAGCTGCGTCTACCTCCCACACCTGTGTGACTGGGATGGGAGGAGCTGGGTCTGAATATCCCTGTAACTCCACAGAGTTCACAATACCATATTTTACCCAGGATATCTGTGATTCTCGAGCTGTGTGGAGTTGAGCAACGAGCCAAGGGTTAGAAATGGTCTCTTGTTTTCTCTTTGTATCTGTTGCACAATTGTTTCTATCACTTTTAATGTGAACAGCGATGTGCAAAATGATTAATGTCTTCAGGGACTTTTCAACTTACTGTATTTTGGTGTGTAATTATTCAGAACAACTTTAAAAATACGGTTAACTGAAGCGATTAGGGGGTAAGGTACTTAAACAATAAGCTGATCAAACTTGTTTTGTTATGTTTGTTACCCATTAACAGTTTAGTAATATTATCTAAACCACTCTATTTAGAGGTGGATACTGAAAGTACAATTGTAATGATGGTAATAAAGAGCTAGTTTCAGTAATAACATGTTTCTTTGTCTTCAAATAGGTGTGGCTATATATCTGGCTTTTTTTCCTTAACCCATCTAATCATTTGTGTTTTTCAGACTTCTTAGCAATGTCACCACATTCCCAGATCTTGGAAATTACCATTGGAGGTATAATGTTATTTGTAATTGGAATGCTTCCCAAAACTATAACTATACTACTGATGGCCTAAAACAACACAATTATTCTTTAAAACAAATATTGTAAATAAGAATTTACAAAACCCAGACAAAAAAAGGTCAAACAGTCAGCCTGATCATCTTTTCCTCTGATCAGGCTGAAGATGTGTAGACAGAGTGATCTTCCACGAATGCTTGAGACATTTTTATAATAACAATACCACATCCACACAAAAGCGGGAAACAGTCCTTTCCTGGTCAATTACCACATATCCAAAATCCATTTAAGGTTAAACTCAAGGAATCTCTCTCCCTATCTCTGCCCTCCTCCATCATCATTTCTTTCCTCTCATGACAGGAGCTGTAGAAATATTGGAGACTTGAAGCATTCTGTTCTGGATGATTCAACAAGATTGAGAGCCATGTTGAAGCGTACAGGCAGGTTATTACTGCTACATGCCGGGTGGGAACAGGTCTGTGTGGAGTGGAGAAGGAATGATTGTCCGTATGACGACGTTCGACAATTATTCTTCCAAGACGTTTGTGAAAGACATAAAGCTTTGGGTGGACATCAGAAGGAAGACAAGATGTAGTGCGAGACAGTGAGAAGTTGACTCTTGTCTCAGTCAACAAAAATATTCTTTAAAAAAGGGCAGGAATTTAAAAAAAATCATCAAAAAGAGCAGCAGAGGGAGATAATTATGAGATATAAAGAATGAAGAGGAAATAATCTCACGTATATTTACGTATGAAAAAGGGCATTTTGACCTAGAAAGCCACAATGTTGTTAATCTGGAATGCTCCAAATCTGTAAACTACACAATGAAATCAGGCCAATTAAATGCCCTAAATACAGTAGAATATTATTAATACAATTGCCATCAATAAGGGTATTAAGAGCTGAGTTGGCTGCTACTTAGCTGGCGGAGGGAAAAAAAGAAAAGAGAAGCGGAGTGTGAGTAAGAGATGGGGGGAGATGGCGACTCTACTCCACTGCTCTTCTGAGAGTGTTTCCTGTGGCTGCTATTGATCCATTTTAACCTACTTAAAGACAAGACAAGAACACACTGACTCAAACAGGCACCAGCTCATGCCTGCATAGTGCAGACACTCACAAACATACACACATCTTCGACGAAAGTCTGCAGCGGAAACATCAATAGAACAACAACCTTTCTTGATAATCACCAGAGAGGAATCAAACACAGCCTGCTCAGTTTATGCCAAACATTACCTGACAAACAAACAAAACAAGAGCCCAACAAAACTGCAGACAAAGGGTAACCCAATCCACTTCCAGGATAATTAGCTCTACCTGTAAGAGGAAGAGTTGGCTGGGGAGCAGTAAAGGAAGGAGAAGGGGGGAGAGAGATGGAGGTGGGGAGGACAAGAGAAGACAGGAGAAGAAAGCAACCAGCACTAGTCTGACCTCATTTCCAGACCTTGCCTTTGTTCCTGCATGTGCGAGGGAGGTGTTGTTTGGATCATGGGGTTTTACCTGACATCTCACCACCACAAAAAAATAAATGCCTCCGATATAAAACACAACACATGAAGCCCAAGTACTGAATCAAACTGGTGCGGGAAGCCGAACAATAGATAGAGAGATATTTGAATATTCTGCTCCATGAAATCATTTCCTTTTAAATTAGTCTCCAAAAAAAAATCGGATGACTAAAATTCCCTGCCCATGTTTCCGAGATTAAAAATATAAATCTATTCAATGTGATTATGGTGGAATAAATCACTGATTACAAGTTTGTTGATTGATAATTATAAGCTAGCAAAGTTTTAAAAGTAATGCCAGCTTCATGTAGGGCTTAATTACTATACAGCAGCAACTGACAGAGGAAGTAACGTTGATGTCATTTTTCTTCCCCCAAAGTGAATAATTTTATACTACCATTTTTTTAAAAAGTGATTAACATCAACGCTCATTTGCTCCTGTAATTTGCCTTTATTGATGTTCATACCAGTTAAGAGCACATTAAGAAATGTTGCCCTTGATTTGTTCTTTGTAATAAAAGGGTTTCTAAAATGATTAACTGCTCATTATCAGATGTTTTTTCTGTATTTCCTGCCATTCGTCCAGCATTTGCTTGTAATTAGTATTTTTGGAAAGAAGAGAGAACTACACCTTCAGCTGTGTTTGTGCCATTAGTGTTTCTCCACCTGATGTTGCAGGATGAGAGTTAACTCTGAAATAGTTTAACTTTAGTTCACTCTTTTCATACTTTTTATGGTTTCCCCTTATATATGTTTTTCCATACTGAGCACAAGTATAAGTGTTTGTGTGGGTGGACGAATGCTGGAAGTGTATTCAGTCAGTCAGACTTGTGTACCTGGGTTGCGTGGGCCCTTCAGAGGGTTGGACAGTGCCATGCCGATCTCTGTCATGCCGTAGCGTTCCAGCAGAGTGTGTCCTGTGATCTCCTCCCAGCGCTGCAGGGTGGGCAGAGGGAGGGCAGCTGAGCCCGAGACCATCAGCCTGCAGGGAGAGAGAGCCGAATATGAAGGGAAAGACTTCAGGCTCCATGTAACTAGGAAATACTATGCCATACAACTTTGTAAAACGTCTATATCTCAAGTCTATCAAGAATGTAAATGAGCAGGGGATCAGATGAGAGGTTTAACCGCACATCCTCCTGTATTGATTACATGGTCGATAACCAATACCATCAATGCAAATGAAAACATCTATACATATCATCATCTTTTTGATACATGTGTCTTTGGAAATTCAAATGGAACTGTTTCTAAATTCGTTCTGAGCGCACCGCCTTCCTACAATTCCATTAATTTAGTTTTCTGCGAGTTGATGACTTATTGTGTTAAATAGGCTATTATATAGTCGCATACCGTGTCAATCACAGGCCCCTGAATTAAATCATAACATACAACAATGTACAAATGTGTAAAAGATGTCACCTATTAACACACATTTTTTAACAGGCATCATCAAAACATATCAAGGGGCAATAAAGAACCTTGTAAACAATAGTTGATCAGTACTCCAATATGTATGCATACCAGTTAACAGCTTACAATTCTTTCAAAATATATTCCTTTGTTCAGTGTTGAGATGGTCTTAAATGGTTTAAAATCTCTTAACCCTTAGGTGCATAAGTGGGTCTTTTTTGACCCGGTGAGTTGGTATTCTTGAAGTATCTTTGTAATTAACATTTTTTATCATTTCATATTCCAGCTATTCCTCAAAAAACATGTTTTGGATATCATGCCATTCACATTTTTTATTGAAATTGTATACATTTTAAGAAATTGTAGTTTTTGTATTACTTGCCCAAGCTTCCATAAGTGGGTCAAAAATGACCTGCATGCATTTTCAAAATGTAATTTTTTTTTATAAATAGTGAAATATTATATATAAAATATTTCTAGTGTGAACCAAAATATAATACTACATATTATACAAGTGATTTTTCTTAACCAAAATGACAAAAATTGCATAAAAACACATAGTATTCTAATACGGGTCCTTTTTGACCCACTTATGGAAGAGTGTAGGGTCCAGTCACTCGTGCATCAAAGGGTTAAACATCGATAAACATTATAAAGATAAACAGTATGGAGTAGACTTTTTAAATAGTTCATAATGGTTTTTCAAGCAATTATAAATATGATTTGCTATAAAATAAATATTAAAGTTGCAATTCTTAGGATCAACACAGGGTCTTCCTCATTCATCCAAACTCATTCAGATATTGAAAGCAAAATATATTTGCTGAGGAAGACCATGAGATGTGGTTGAAAGCTCTGGATAAAACTATTAAACGTTCCATGAGTTAAGGATTTTTAAGAAAAGCCAATTATTGTATTAAACTGGAATGATATTAAAAAAAAAGTGCATTTCTTTATTATTCACCAGCTCCTTTATCAAACAACCTATATTTTGGAGCTCAAGCCTTCCATGTTTAAAAAATGGATAGGATCAAATTGCCATCTGTGTAGTTATGGTTTCCTCTTAAACTTGGCAGTGTTATTGGCCGTGTCTAACCATTTCCTGGTATAAACACAGGCTGTACCAACTGACTTGTGCAGGAGCAGATTACCCACAAAACAAAACATTTCGTTTTAAGTTCACACCACAAAAGTTCCAGTCGAGTGTCACAACGCACACAAAACCACAAAACCAAGTGTGAAAATATAAATGCATCATTACCATTCGTATGATTTGTTAGGCGTTTTGGGCGTTACATATAACATGCAGATTGCTGGGGCAACAAAGACCTGTTCCCAGTTTCAGTATTTAGTTTGAGTTTAGTCCTCGTGTAAAGAAGTGACAGAGCACTGTATAAATACCTCTTTCGTTGTGTTAGACATTTTCTGCTAAATACAGTTAACTTCCTCTTCTCCTTACTTCTGGGAAATCGGAGTTGAGGTTCCTCTTACTGACCATATCAAAAGCAAAAAAAAAGTTTCAATATGCTAAGTTAGCTATTGTGATCTTATTCCCATGACTGGTCATGACTAATACAATGGTGGGGGGGTGAAACTGTTGGAATTATGCAGGACTGTGAATAATATCACATAGTAAGCACAAAGTTAAAAGATGCACTCTGTGCTGTTTCCCTGCAGGCCTGGAGGAAACGCTGGTTTGTGCTTCGAAGAGGTCGCATGAGCGGCAACCCTGATGTGCTGGAGTACTATCAAAGCAAGAACTCCAAAAAGCCCATCCGCACCATCGACCTGAAAGAGTGCGAGGTGGAAATGCTCAACGGGCAGCTCAGGATAAAACGAGACTTCAACGGCAAACACCTCTTTGTGGTGAAGACCACATTTCGTGTCTTTTACCTGGTGGCCAAAACTGAGGAGGAGATGAACAGCTGGATCAGTCAAATAAGTCAGATCAGCCAGTTTGGGAGTCTGGAGGATGCAGGTGAATACACTCAATACAGTTTGAACTGTGGTCATGTTAGAGCAGGACGTGGTAAGATGTGTGTGTTGTTCAGTATGTAGAGCGGTCATCCTCGAATCAGTCGGGGGTCTGATCCCTGCAGTCAACGTGTCTAAATGTCTTTGTGAAAGGTACTTTAAGTGATGGCGTCAGTGTGCATGTGAATATTGCTCATGATGCTAGAACATTGAATAGTAGCCTCTGCCACACTGAAAAACTGAAAAGTTGAATTGAATTAAATGTATTATGTAAACAAATGTCACATAACTGTATTATGTTAGTTGAAAGCAATTAGAATCGTAGGATGAAACCCAGTGACATTTGACCTCTGCATTTAACCCATCCTAGTAGTAGGAGCAGTGGGCAACTATTGTACAGCGCCCGGGGAGCAATGGGGGGTGGGGGGGGGGATGTGGTGCTGGTTCCTTGCTCAACACTCCACACTCCACACTCCATATTTTAGGTCTGGTGGGGACTTGAACCAGCGACCCTTAAATTCCCAGTCCAAATAATATTAGGTTTAGATCAAACATCTTAGGTTCAATTTAATATTATTGCTTCCAACTAACCTAACATATTATATGTTAAATGTGTTTACATAATACATTTAATTAAAGTCAACGTGGTATCTTGGACAACGAAAGGACTCTAAAAATGCAGTCAATTTACCATTTTTAAAATGCTCCTGTCTCAATGAACATCACACAAAATAGTGTACACAAGTTGTTACACAGTAGATTTACCCTGCATATCCAGGACAAAGTGGTGTCATTTGACCCCAAACAGGAAGTAGCAAACTGAAAACCAAGCTTGAGAATGAGGTCAGAACTAAATGTGAATTTGGTGGTATTTGGTTCAGAGACTAGTGAGGGTCGAACACAAGGTTGCAATTTACCGACTTTCAATCTATCTACATATGAAACATGACAGAATTGTGGTTTTGATAGCATTTTGTATTATGTTGTATAGTGGAAGCAGTATTGATCAATCACGTTTGAAGGAGGGTTGGTTGAATCCAGATAAATACTCGGTATGGGAAACAAAAGAACGCATATGCTGCATTGCATTGGCAGATTGCTGTTGACTGAAGATGATTTAGGTTTTTATTAATATATATATGAATAGATTTAATCTCAAAGCTAATACACAATCACATTGTATACATTGTCTCTGAACTCCAACTAGTGCTTTAAGTTGTTCACTGTCAACAATGACCAATGTCTGGAAGACAAATGATTGATTTACATAACTGCTAGCTACAAGGTAACCCCAGAATTACTATCTGTTGCTCCCAGAAGCTAAATCATCTTCAGACCAACTGATACTGGGTTTCATGATTGATTCACACTCATATGATTTCTCAGCATCAGGTCCTTAGTTTTACATTTGTGATATCTTGCTGCAAAATATCCAAAATGCAGCTTTAACTGATCATGTGTAAATCTGCTACCCACTAGTGTTGATTACTACAAACTCATGTTGTGAATGATTTGTCAAACCAAAAGTACCTCATTTTTGTTTCACACCGTTTCTAAAGATTCTTAATATGCATAAAATGACGCAAAAATGTAAAGAGTATCTCCAATGTTCTAGTATTTTGCCTTAATTTCAACAATTGGTAAAGTCTGAAGCATTTTAATCTACATTTTAAAACACCTCAAGAACAGTTTAAGAGCCAAATCAAGATTTAAAGGTCCCATGTCATGGCCATTTCTACTGATCATAATTCCATTGTTGAGGTCTACTAAAATAGATTTACATCGTTCAATGTTCCAAACTCACATTGGTTTCTCATACAGAATCTCTGTGTATAGCATGTACTATTCACTCTCTGGCCATTTCTCAATCGCGAGGAAACTGGCTTCCAAGCCAATATTTCAAGGATACTACGTCATCGAGTGCCGCCGAAGGACTGTTCTAATCTAGCATACTTGGAATTCCAACGAGGCCACGTCCTTGGTTTGGGGTTAATTTCGAGGCTGCACATGGGTAGACTTTGCGTCCTTCAAATCCCCACAATGCTTTGCGCACGGACCAATTTCAAAAACCCTTGAGGAGAATGGCTGAACCGACGCAGCACAGCACACATTTAAATGTAAGTATGTAGTAGCGTAGAACATGTGTTCTGAGACTGCCAAGGCACACGAGGGGATAGGTGTTGCATTTTGTTATCACCAAAAATGTGTCGTGAAAGTAAAGCAAGTTTCTAATTAGATAGACATTGGAGGTATTTTATTTTCGGTACAGTATGTTGAAACCGTTTAGAGAGAGTGGCACACTTGTTAGCCTGTTTCCATTCTTCTTTGTTTTCGAAGCGTGGTTGGAAGTAAACTTGCTTCGTTTCTGAAGGAAGTGACTTGGAAGTATGCGACTATCAAGCAGTATCCTCGCGATTGAGAAACGGCCTCTGTCCCTAAACGACTTGTTGGAGCTCCTGCCCCCCCCTCCCCCCCTCCCCCCTCCCTTTGAGCTCTGATTGGTCAGCTCGCCCCACTCTGTTCTGTTCAATCAGTGATTATGCGTTACAATGGCGTTTGTTAGCAACCAGAAATGACGCCAGTATGAATGACCAAACAGATTGAGAAGCTTGCCGTGGGGGTTGGTGCCGTGTTGGGGCGGACGTTGCCGGGGCTCGCTACTCGCCCTTTGAGGAGCGGACAGTGTGAGCTGGATTACTGTGTGTAGTTTCCTGGGTTGCTGCGTGGGGTCTGCAAGACCTGAAGCACACACACAGGCCGTTTCCTCATCGCGAGGATCGGCTTGGTGTCGCATACTTCCAAGGTCACTTCTTCGAATGAAGCAAGCAATACTTCCAAGCCCACCGGCTTCGGAAAACAAAGAAGAATGGAACAGGCTAACAAGTGTGCCCTCTCTCCTAACGGTTTCACATAAACTGTACCGAAACAAATACCTCACGATGTCTATCGAATTGAACTTGATTTACTTTCACGGAACACATTTTTTGTGATAAAATACAACAAGTACATATTACCAAACACATGTTCTACCGCTACTACATACTTACATTTATAAATGTGGTGCTGTGCTGCGTCGGTTCAGCCATTCACCCCCCCTCCCAGGGTTTTTTGGAAAATTGGTCCGTGCGCAAAGCATTGGTGGGGATTTGAAGGACGCGAAGTCTACCCATGTGCAGCCTCGAATTAATTCGGTGGAATTCCAAGTATGCTGGAGATTGGAACAGTCCTTCGGCGGCACTCGATGACGTAGTATCCTTGAAATATTGGCTTGGAGCAGTTTCTCGCGATTGATGAAACGGCCACACATTCACAGCCTGAGCTCCGAGTGTGTGTGTGTACGGGAGCTCCGCGGCTGAGAAAAGTAAGGCTGTGTGTGTGTGTGTGTGTGTGTGTGTGTGGTGTGTGTGTGTGTGTGTGTGTGTGTGTGTGGTGTGTGTGGTTGTTGTGTGTGTTGTGTGTGGTGTGGTGTGTGGTGTGTGTGTGTGGTGTGGTGTGTGTGTGTGTGTGGTGTGTGTGTGTGTTGTGTGGTGTGTGTGTGTGTGTGTGTGTGTGTGTGTGTGTGTGTGTGGCGCGGAGCCTCCGCAGCAATTACGTCAGTATGCCCCGGAGAAAAAAATGGAAAACGAAAAATCTCCCAACGGA